TCTACTAAATACTGAGCAAAGGGTCTGAATACTTATGACCATGTGATATTTCAGTTTTTCTTTTTTAATAAATCTGCAAAAATGTCAAATTCTGTGTTTTTCTGTCAATATGGGGTGCTGTGTGTACATTAATGAGGAAAAAAATGAACTTAAATGATTTTAGCATATGGCTGCAATATAATAAAGAGTGAAAAATTTAAGGGGGTTTGAATACTTTCCATACCCACTGTATAATGTTGGGTTTGCAGATTGGGCGGATGCTGAGTCAGCATCTGCACTATTGTTATCCTGTTCTTTATTATTATGACTTCTTCCATACGTTTTCCGCCGCTGAATAACTGCAGCATACTTTCAGCTAGAAAAACCGTTCAAATATCAAATGTTAAGCTTTTAGGTAATTTTTATACTTTTTAAAATATTCTGCCTTTTCCTTAACAGTTTTATAATGGAAGTCAATAGGAGAATCTAAATGTATACTACCCAACAGCTGGCTAGTCGAACGGGTGGCATAGCTCAGTGGTTAACACCACTGACTTCAGTACAGCAGGTTGGGGTTCTAGCTCTGTGTGCTTGTCTGTGGGATTGCAATAATCGTCAGCTCTTACCAACACTTCAGCTTTCCAGATGTAAACAGTTCTAATCCAGTGTCTTTATTAATTGTTGTTGCTACGCATCTCTAAAAAATCAACAGGGCCAAGACTGAGTTATGCTTCTTTCTTTTCAAGTATAACAGGGTTTGTATCAATATGAAAGTACCTAAACACTTGGTGTTGGTTTACAAGGTAAGAACAGTTCAAATTTAAAGCCTTTTATGGAAGTCCAGAGTCTTCAATAATAATAATAAATAGAAACAACATTGAAATTAATAAGCATATGAATAAATTGTGTAAAATATATACTTGCACATTCAATTTGTGAAATCATTCAAGAAATATTAAAACTTAAATTATTTTGACATGGTATTTCATCATCCTTATTTAATAGAGTTTTTAGGGGTTATCTTTACATCCCTTTCTATTCTATTCTATTTTTATTCTACTTTAATCTATTTTAGTTCCTAAATGTAATGGCGCCCAATACTAGGTGAGAGAGAAACGATATTTCGATTTTCTGTATGTCCTGCACATATGGTGAATTGACAATAAAATCCTTGAACCTTGAACCCTATTTGCTCGTATTTTTTATATTGATTTATATAATTTTGTGTTATGTAAATAATGTCTTTTATGCCGAGAGTTGCCGGAAATAATTTCGTTGTGCTATGCATAATGGCAAAGATTCTTGACTTGACTAGATGGTCTGAGAGGAATTTGCATGAGACAGATTGTTAAAACTTGCTTCTAGGAAATTTTGCCACAACTTACCGGTGACTAGTCACCTATCCCCTGTTGGCCCTGTAGTTTGATTGGCAGCATTATAGGAACGTTGTTGCATATCAAATATATCTGGACTAGATTAACTTCTTATGTTTATTGGCAAGCCAACTTAAGGTGCAGTACTGGCACCTGCTGGGCTGCAGAGTGGAACAACAATAGATCTAAAGGAACTAAAAAAGGTGGACTAGATTAATGTTGGCACCTTTTTGTTTTAAACACCCAACAAGTTAATTCACTGCTCAGCACCTAGAACGGTTAGATATTGTGTAGAAAATACTAAACACAGACCGATGTGCTCCTCAAATGAAGATGCTTCATTTTTTTTGTAAAATGTTTTTTTTTTTTATCACATCTGTATTTCTGACACTTGTCTTTGTCAGGTTTGCCCGGCTGCACCTACTTTCTCACTCCCCTCACTCTGTTTTCACTCCCTTACCCTGATTACGTTATTCTTTACACCTGCTTCTTACCCCCGGATTACCACCAGCTGCACCTGATTAGTTTCTCCCTATTTAGTCCCTGCTCTTCGTTCACTCCCCTGCAAGTCCTTTCTAGTGTTTCTCAGGCCTGTTTGGTCCCTGTTGTTCTTTGTGATCTGTATTAGTTTTTTTTTTTTTGTCTCCTTCTCTCCAGTTGCTTAGATTCATTCCCTCCTCGCCTCAGTCGCTCCTTCGGACCACGGACCTCCTCCGCTCTGCTTTATCACCACCCTGCAGGTCGATGCACAGTCTACTACTTACCGTATGTACTATTTCTGTTCATCTTCAGTAACATCCAACTCGACCAGTCCAGAAGTGAGTCCCAGTGTCCGCAGCCCGGTCCTCTTCTCATCATCTCCACCATTGACTGTGTTCCCCTCCGAAGCTTATGTGAAGTTAATTCACTGCTCATTACATGTAACGGTTAGATATTGTGTAGAAAATACTAAACATAAACAGATGTGCTCTTCAAATGAAGACTTTACATTTTCATTGTAAATTTTTTTTTCACATTTATAGTTGACATACTTGTCTTATTCTACTCCTGTAATACCTCCTGTTCTACATTCAAGGTGGCAGTGGCCAGAGCATCCTCTGTTGGCTACACAAACAAGATGCTCCAGATGACCAACAATGGGAAATGCATACTTTACATTTTCCCTCTTCAAGAACAAATTGACACTACACCCCTTCTCTATTAAGCTGTGGATGGGTAAGTTCACCAGAACAATGGAAACAATGGTGTAATTTCATATATAGATTTGTACAAAACATTCTCAATCTTCAGAGATGCTCTGGACATTTTTAGGTGGGCATTTTTAGGATGTAGTGTATGGGGGGTTGATTTATTGTATGAAGGCTGTCTGTGTTTTTCATGAATGAAGGTAGGTGACTGTAATCTCACTTGAGGTGGATTCATTAGCTTATGTAGAGCTTTTTACCACCATTACAGGCTTTCTCATCCATGTTTGTGTCATACTAAATTTTGAATATAGACCTTCTGGTATAACCTGTATATTCCTGTATCATTTTGTTCAAAGTAGAATTATATTGATTAGTTTAAATTACTGTTAAAGATCAAATTTGCATGGCCTGTTTCATAAACGGAGGGTAAATAAAAATGGGAATTCTTAAAGTGAATGTTCCACATAGGCTTGATGGCGATGAACCCAGCAGAGGTGACGACATCAGCAGTCTGGCCTTTTCTTGGGACTTGCCACCAGCAATTCAGAGATGGCTATTTCAACATTTGGTGAGGTGACTTCTTGTATTTCCAGGTGTTTTTTTTTTTTTGAGCATATGCTTTAAATTCAAGCTTTTTCCATTTCGCCCTTAGGCAATGCTTAACCAGATGTCATTCTGTGGCCAGACTGTCAGCAGAGTTCTTGAGGACATGCATAGAGACAGGCAAGTTTATTTATAAATGGATCATTTATTATTGAAATCAAAGCTTTACAAGTCCTTTTATTTTATTATTAAAATGCTGCTGAAGTTTTTGGCCAAGATGGGAAATCCCTACTGGTGGGGCCATCCAGGCAGAGTACCTCACATTTTCCTCCATGCTGTTGCGCTGCACATGCCTGGACCACAGTTGCAAAGACTTCTCCAGTCATGTGAGTTCTCTGGAGTTACATGATTGCAGCATTTTAAAAAAAAAAAAAAAGGGAATGTGGTGAAAGTGCCCCCCTCAGGCCCTGTTTTATTTGTATTTTCTTCAATAAAGCTATTACAACTATAAATTTGTGTTCTGCTCTCTTGGTTCTTCACTGTACTCCAACATGATGCACATCTGGGAAAATATTCATATTAAGCATGTAGAACACCCTGAATTATTTTCTGGGATTAAGCCACAAGTTTTTACAAAATTTAAATGAAAAAATTTAATTATCTATTGTTTACAAATTAAAGGGGGGGAGGGGGAAGACAAAATGGACCACGTTTGTCCTCTACACAGTTTGTTACAGAACATTCCACTGAAGCATGCAATCAAATTAAGATGTGCAGTGTTAAGTATTTTACAAGGTTGATTGCAAAGTTGTGAAATTGCCCTTAAAATGACTGAAAACCCACATGCAGTCTGAAAAGTAGGAGTAACTACTATGAAGCCTAATTCTCAAATTGGGCACAGAAGAATTAAACATTTTAATATCAAAGCAAGACTGCTTAGAGTACCTGGATGGAAAGTCAGGTTTATTTGCAACTTCAAGGAAGAACACCAGAGCCATGAATGCCTAGTTTTTGGCCGTTTGGAGGATCAGAACCTGTGACGGTTCACTCAATCAGCTTACCCACAATGAATTAAAGTAATTCTATTTGCCAACTCTACTAAAAACTTGTATTTCACTTGAGAGCCATGAAGGTCAATCACTATGTTATGACAATGTTTGCCATAAACATTACAGATAGAACACTGGAGGTTTTTACTAAAGCGTCATTATCATACAGTAAGTCAAACTGTTACACTACAGTTCATTCTGACCCTGTGTACAAACATGGTGGATACAGAATGAAAGCCCTAGTAAAGACACTAATATGCACACCTTACAGCTGTGTTAAAACACCATATATTAAAGTAGTAGGTTTGTCAGTGGGAAAAAATGGGTCAGACTGGAACAAAGTGTTTTATGCAATTACACTGTGCTCCATGTTAGTTTTGAGAATTTTCATTACAATTTATATCAAAGTTGGGGGGGGTCCTATAATGTCTGTCCTAGTTATAACAGTTACTCTGATCACAGAAAGACAGAAACCTGTACAAACTAACATTTTCATTAAAGGATATTGTATATGTATATTAAAGGTGCACTTTGAAACTAAACGGGAATTTTAATGACAATTGTTTTCTCTAATCAATTCATATTTCTTGCACATCTGAGTCTCTCCTGGCCTATATTTACTAGTCACATTAATATAGTAACAGCATCAAACTCTGTTGGAAAAAGCACTGTACATAAGTGCAATTGAGGCATCTGTACTTATTTTTGTAGTTTCTGCTTCTTCACATCTTACCATACCTTTTTACTCCTACATTTATTTGTAACTTATAGTTTCTTTTCAGAATTAGATGAATAAAAAGGAAATACGGTATAAGCCTAATCATTATACTTCAGTAATTTCTGGTGAGAAAGTTAAAAGCTACTCACCAGAAGTCCAGATTTTAACAGTTAAAATTATCCCTACCTTTACCAGCTACAACATTAACATGATGAACAATAATGCATCAGAAATTATATCAATGTGAAATGCATTCTATTATTATTCTGCACAGTGACTACATTTACATTTAACTTTTGGTAATTGAGGTATATTTCCTTGCTAATACCTTTGCTCTATTATTTAAGCAACATTGTGAATGTAGCACTCTTACCTGTAACAAGGCATCGCGGTAAAAAGACGTCGACTGGTTTGGACCTCACCGGGTCTTCATCAGGGCAGAATCATACAGGTGCAAACAATTTAAGTTTTCGTGCTGATGAAGACCTGGTGAGGTCTAAACCGGCCAGCATTTTTTTTATTGAGCTGCATGATTAATGTTAAATATAAAAGACATTTACATTAATGGGTCCTGTAAAACTAGGAGTTCTTTCATCTACAAGACTACACATCCAATAAGGAATAGGTTACTCTAAGACATTTTTCCTAGATTGAGCAGGTTTCACAATTAGCCTGACAATTGACAGGCTCAAGCAAAGCAAAAGAGTACTGGACGGCTAACATTACCCCTGAACATTTTCTTGCAAGCTGAGGTTTACTAACACCCTACATTAGCATTTGGCTAATGCTAGATAAAGTATCCCACCTGGAATAGAAAACATAAATTTGGACAACTGTAGTGATGGCCATCTGATACCGAGGCCTCGATACATGATTAGAGCTCGGAAAGGGATCTCCCGTGAACCACTGCCTCGAGGCTTGTATCGTTGCCGAAAAGACACGTGACTGATGACGTCCAACGCAGAAACGGCTGGCCTGAGTGACTCCTGTGACCAGTTCAGACCGTCGATACGGTGTCATGATGTGAGATATTCGCTGCGCACGTCAGTAGCCACCCAAGATGATATGCAACATGTGGGTTTGTTGGCATAGTAGGTGTGAGCGTAGTTGCTGTTGGTATGATCATTGCTGCTGGTGTGTGATCACCATGGAGCCAGCTAGGAATAAAAATGATTGATTCTCCATCCCTTGTAGTTATTCACACCCTGTCCTAGTTACATACGCACATATTACATCCTAGCACATCCTGTTTCCCCAAACACGCCTTCTCCCACCTACTACACTACATACGTTCATAGACTTGACTGACTGACCAATCAATTTTTACAAACATTTTCACATCATTCACACAAGCCTAGTTACACCATCACATAATTCAGACATTGTTCTGCTGCATACAATTTCACCACCAGATGGCACTAAACTGAACCTTTGAATGAATGAACCAATACTCGATACAAATGATGAAGTGGTTTGATACAGGTGTCATTGTGTCACTTGGACATCACTAGACAACTGTGTTAACAGCAAAGCACCTGCATGCTGCCTACATACAGAACGCAACATATGAAATGTTAACTGATTTTCTACAGTTTTCTAATACGACCCACCTGGGTAGCAGAACGGCTCACGCTGTCATCCATCTTGAATCTCAACTACAACTAAACTTACAGAACTGCCACTGGAAACTAATTTGAAGAACCCAGCTACCACCTCATTGGACAATTTCACTCTGCTCTGTGATTGAACTGTCACTGTTCAATCAGATTCAGGTGTGATTCACACAAAAACCTATGCGTTTTGCTACTTTCTGCCTGTACACAGATGTTCACAAACACGCTTGTTTTCACAGATTTTGTTCACGCATTCAAAAGGCAATGCTTGGTTTAATGGAAAGCATCTCCCTGCTAAGTGCTAACTGGATATTGATCACACCCTGGGAGAGACATGAACCCTAACCTGCTGTATCAAAGTCAGTGGTGTTCACCACGAAGCCATCCACATTTCTCTCCACATGCATTTAGGACTTTTACTGGTTTCTGCTATTGGTCAATTGAGCTTAGCAAGGAACAGGGGATGAGGCAGTCATTTTAATTGCTTAAAACAGAAACATTAAAATTAACATGGTACCACACAAATGGTCACACAGTAAGACACATAGCATCCACATGCATTTTCTTCAGGAAATTCATTTTTCTATTTTTTTATCACTTCCAAATAGAATTATATGAAAGACTTGTTAGTAGATCTCAGTAGTGACTTTACCTCTTATAAAACAGTCTGAGTGTCTAATAAAGTAACTCAGAGGAGTGACACTATTCGTCCCGGTGGCTCAGGAGCTGCAGTGTGATGATCCTGCCGATGAAAGGTCCCCTTAAATTAAGCCAGCCTCCAGATGACTCAAGATTGGTGGGATGCACGCATGTTTTTGTTTCATGTAAGGCTAAGTTAATGTGAGATGATGAGGTACCCAAATGGGGATATGTATGGCCTTTTGATTCTGTCAGCTTTCCAGTTTATCTGGTATTGACAATCCAGGAGGGAGCTGGATAAAACAGACTTTTCAGCCTGCGCTCTATCTTCCTCTCCAAGCATAATGAGAAAATACTTTGCATTTGTGAATAACTGAGATGAGATATTAGAAAGGATGATGTTTATTGTACAACAAATGGGAGGAAATACTGTGAAATGCTGTGGTAAGTGGAAAAGAAGAAGGTGCTTTTCCTCCACAAGGACATGAAAATGCACATTGAGTACAATCCTTACATGCAGTTGTAATGATTAAGCTGGGGATTGTCATGTTTTGGTCTTAATGAGCAATTAAAAAAGTAAAATAAAAATACAATAATTTGCTCTGTAAATGCTGAAGTGCCCTCACATGTAGTTCCTGTATTGGCCACTAGAGGCTCGCTCATAACTGTTATTCTAAGTGGGAAAACTCTAAAAATTTCCTTGGAGATATTTTATAGCTGCAAATGGTGGGGAGGGTATCATAAGCTGATTTCACTTTTTCACATGAGTGTCTTGATGCCGGTCTTGAAAGTTATTGTATGATTTCTGAGATATTAAAGCAGCATTAATTGATTTTTGGCCACTGTGGGGCAACAAAACAAGCTGTGAATAAGGTGATAAGGCAAACAGCAACCACTAGTTCTACACTGGTGTCATGCTTTTGTTAAGTCTAAAATTAAGCAAACATTATTTTTGGCTGTTGTTTGGTGCTGTACAGGTGGCATGTAGTTGGTATATTGATGCTTATTTTGCATTCTGATTAACCACAACATTAAAGTTGCTGGTCCAAAAACCAAAACCTGAAAATGCACATTACACGTTGCTGGACAAAATGTTTTTATAGAAATATTGATTCTGCAGCTTTAAGGCTTATCATTGCCAGTGCATTATATCCAGCTAAATCAAGATAAACTAATACAACAGCCCTGTAATCAGTTCTACTTCCATGAAATTTATCATGTTTAGTTTTTGCTGAAACTGTTTTGGAGAGGTGTTGATTTTGTGTTGCTGTTGTACTAATATTTTGCCCTTCATATCAGTGAGGGTTGACTGAACACTGAACTAAATATTGGATCAAAAATGTGAATGTCTGATGCTGATAATACATTCACCTCAGTGTGAAAATGACCTCA